GAGAGAGAGAGAAACAAACATCCATGTGAGAGAGACACATTGACTGGTTGCCTCCTGCAGGTACCCAGATCTGGGGTGGGTAGTGAACCCACAATCTAGGTATGTGCCCTTGACCAGGAATCGAACCCAGGACCGTTTGGTACACAAGTCGAGGCTCTCACCACTGAACAACACCAGCCAGGGCCATAAATTGATTTTAAACACTAATTAGTATATTAATCTCTGATGCTCCCAATGTCATCTGTAGCTTTGTACCAGGATAGGGCACTGTGCTCAGAGAAGGACATCTTCTCTGGTACAATAGGGCAGAAGGCTAAATAATACAAGGTTTATGACTTAAGATGTCATCTGGGTATTTTTTGTACATAACAAGTAGAATCATCTCTTAGTTTTCCTCTGACCTGCCTAAGTTGACATTGGATTATTTTGGACTTTTCTTTTTACTTTAGTTCAATGATCAGTTGATCAGCCCCAAACATTTTGTTCATCTGGCTGGCAAGTCCACCCTAAAAGACTGGAAGAGAGCTATTCGTCTGGGTGGAATCATGCTCAGGTGAGCTCTAATAGTTAACAACTTACCTTTCAACTGACTTTGGGGGCACTTAATCATGGTAGAATAGAGAGAATTCAGTCTTTTCTCTTTAATTTGAAATTTTTATTCTGTCTGATGGATTAGTTTAAGCAATCCATGTATTATTTGACCTTCATCAACTTGTTTAAAAAAAACAAACTCTGAAAGAAGAGTGAATCAAATTCACTCTTCCCTGTATATAGGGCCAGTTTTTTAGGATGTTGGGTAGGATCCTCTAGCCAGAGAAACTCAAGAACAGATGACAGTCCTGCTTGAGATCACCAAGCATAGGCAGGCTAAGCCTGGTGCTGAGGAAGCGTGACAACCACTGAGAAGTTTAGGCTGACCGGCAAATCCTGGGATAATTGGTAAAAGTAGAGGGGTGCTATTAATAAGTACCAGTGATGCACAGTGAATGCAATCCGTGCCATCACTGTACCACAGAAATAAAATTCAGAATGCTTATTACTCCCAACGCCCCCCTTTATGCAGCAAGTTTCCTATTGTAATTTTTTTCCGTCTGAAAATTAACATTAGTTGATTAACATTAGTGCTCATTCTTTGAGTACTTACCTCTTGGTAGAAAATTTAAAAATGTGGTTAAAAATTAAAAGTTCCACACAGAACATGTTTCAAGAGTCTCATGTTTCAACACCTTACCCTTTGTCTTTAATTCTTTTTAAGGAATCTGTCTTAAGAAAAATCCATAGGGCTTGTAGAGATTCAAGCATAAATATGTTCATTACAACATTATTTATTAAGAAAATTAGTCTGTTTTAATATAGGTATATGCAAAGTAAATTATGGCTCATCTAAATATATATGAGTATATACTGTGGGATACAATGTAGTCATTAAAATATTTCTAAAGAGGTTTTTTTTTCTAAAGAGTTTTTACATAAAAATGCTTATGTGTAAGAATGAAGACAAAATATAAAATCAATTAAACTGTAATTTTTTTTTTAAACAGTGTGATTTTAATTGTGTTAAAACACATACACATGACACTCTAACTACTACATATGTAAAATTTAGTAGAAGAAAATATAGCAAAATGTTGATGTGATCTCTGTGTTGTGGGATATTTTTTAAAAAGGGTAGTTGTTTTCTTTATATTTTTCACAAAAAATGTTAATTTTTTTCTTCACATACTATTTTTTTAAATCAGAAACAAAGAAAAAAATCATTACAGATGATTTATATGCAGAAATCAGTAGTTAAATGAAATTGGGGAGAAATACCTTTAACTTTCATTTTTGTAGTTCTTGGCCCATTTTATTTGCCCAGAAAAACAAGCATATGTCAACTTTCCCCAAATGTAAAGGGGAACAAGAATGCCTTAAAAATCTTTAGTGAAAGACAAGTAGCAATATAACATACTTACTGTAATGAAAATACTGCATGGTTTTGCTCAGGGACTATCATAGTGTCTTGTGAATTCAGTTCTAAGGATATTTTATAGTGGGGGTTTAGTATAATCAGCTTTGTTTTGTATTTATAGGAGAGTTGTTATCAATTTTTTTTTTTAAGGAAAGAAATATGCTGAAGTTTTATGTCTCCAAAAGAGACAACAGATCTTGCTGGTCTAGGAATACTAACACATCAGAATCTCATCACAAAATTCTAATTCCGTTGTGGCATTCCTTAATTGTGCTTGGATATGAGGTAGTCTTTTTTCCCCTTTGGGTTTTGTTTCATTGAGATCCTGTGGGGAAACTTAGCTATTGTCAGGAGTGTATATCTAAAGCTTAGTGATAGTGGGATATAAAAGAAAAAGTACTCATGAGTAGACTAGGGAGGGAATAGGAGTACTTGTAAATGTGGGCAGGACCAATGAAAATTTTATAGTCCTAATTAGAATCTTTGCAACCTAATGACTTTTAATACTATTAGGTTTCACTAACCTATAGAGGAGACTCACTAGTTTCCAAAGTGCAGGCTGAAGTGATACTTCTTGTCTCCTTTTGTGCAGGAAAATGATGGACTCCGGACAGATTGATTTTTACCAACATGACAAGGTTTGCTCCAATACCTGCAGAAGTACCAAATTTGATCTTCTGATCAGCAGTGCAAGAGCTCCAGTGCCAGGACAGCAGACAAGTGTGGTGCAGACACCCACTTCGGTCGATGGTAGGGGGTAGGAAACCACCTGAAAACACATTGTGTTTTTCAGTAGCATTTCCCCCTCATTTCTCTTTTGTGTTTCCTTTTTTTTTAATTTTTATTGAATTTATTGGGGTGACATTGGTTAGTGAAATTATATAGATTTTAGATGTTATCTATATACAGTGGGGCCTTGACTTACGAGTGTTCCAATTAACGAGTTTTTCGAGATACGAGCCGTCTCCCGGCCGATTTTTTGCTTTGAGTTGCGAGCTAAAATTCGGGTTACGAGCCAGCTTCAGATACCCCACCTCTAGTTGGCGCAGCCAACGTCACAGTGAACGCCACAACATCAGCCCAGCGTCACGTGTCTTACTTGTTCACTTTTTGATTTCACATACGAGTAATTTGAGTTACGAGCTCTGTCACGGAATGCATTAAACTCATAAGTCAAGGTCCCACTTTATATAAAAGCCTAAGTGACTGGATGACTGGCTGGTAGCTATGATGCGCACTGACCACCAAGGGGCAGACGGTCAACGCAGGAGCTGCCCCCTAGTGGTCAGTGCGCTCCCACAGCGGGAGTGCCGCTTAGCTGACAAACAGGTGCTAGATGCCAGGCTCACGCTGGCTGGCGAGCACAGCTGTAGGGGCGCAAGCCTCTCTTGTGGACACTCTCCCTGCGCGCCCCTCCCTCATCCAGACTGGGACTCTGGAGGCAGGCGTAGCTGGGCCAGGATGAGCAGGAGTGGTGCAGCACCTGGCCCGGGGTTGGGGTACTCCCTGGCCACCTGCCGCTTCGTGCACTACTACATCCCTCGGGGGATGTAGTACTGCTGATTTCAGCTGATCCCCACAGGCCAGACTGAGGGGCCTCTAGTAGTTCTTTAATACATGATCTGTATATTGTATTATGTGTTTACCCCCAATGTTCTTTGGGGTTCTTAATTTCAAATCTCATGAGTGTTGATGTCCTTGAAAGTCATGGTAATCTTGGATGGGATTCCATGCTTTAGAAACAGATCTTTGTTTTCTCCCAAATGATTCCTATTGGCCAGACCTCCTTCTTTGTTTCTTTTTTGCAATGCATGGTAAACATTAGAAAGATGGTTCAATAGTTCTAATACTTTTTCAGTAATCTCACTTGGGTACCATTTGGCATATCTTTGAATTTAGACTGTTTTTAAAATTCTGTGCTCTATTAGTGGTTAAAGCAGGAAGGTGGATTAGAATGGTGAATGGTTTTCAGTTGTTGAACTGAGATGTATCAAAGACAATTTATCCTTGGCTGGGATGGACTCTGGAGACTCTGCTAAAAGGATCAAAGAGCTCTGCCTGGAAGGGTTCTGGATAACCAAGCTGAGGCTTCCTCACAATTGAGACAGGATGGGGGACACACTTCCATAATATTGAGTTTGGGACTAGGCCTCCCTGCCCATCTCCAGGACAGATGTAGCCATGTGAGGTTATTATTAAGGATTCAGTTAGTCCAGCTGGAGATTAGCACAGTCAAGATTAGTAGATAGAATATGTGTCAACTACTTCCAGAAGACTTATAAATATATCTGACAGAGTCACAAGAACTAAAGGATATAAGGGAAGTACTATGCTTTAAAAATGCCTCGTTAGGTTTCTTTTGATCAGACCTAATATTCTGTATTGACTGGGTGAGTAGAAGCCAAATCTCTTGGAACCTAAGTTCTTTTCAGGAAAGTATAAAATATCTAGCAGTTTGAATTTTTGTTCATGTGACTCTTTCACTTGAAAAGTGAAAAATGCTGTGAAATTATATACTTCCTTTTTATTTGGCCAAAGCTCCTTTACTTAATTTATTGTCCATATTGATATTACTTCTTTGCTTATTATTATTATTTTTTAACTAGAGTCCCAGTGCACGAATTCGTGCATCAGTGGGGTCCCTCGGCCTGGCCTGCGGGATCAGGCTGAAACCAGCTCTTCGACATCCCCTGAGGGGGTCCTGGATTGTGAGAGGGCGCAGGCCAGGAGAGGGACCCCACCAGTGCACGACTGGGGCGGGAGGTTGGCCAGCCAGGGAGGGACTTCGGAGGGCTCCAGGGCGTGTCTGGCCCTTCTGGCTCAGGCCTGATAGGCTGGACCCCCACAGCAAGCTAACCTACTGGTCAGAGCATCTGCTCAGTGCACATCATAGCAACTGGTCGACTGGTTGACTGTCTGCCCCCTGGTGGTCAGTGCATGTCATAGCAAGCCGTTGAGCGGCCTTAGCATATCATTAGCATATTACACTTTGATTGGTTGAATGGATGACCAGACACTTAGCATATTAGGCATCCTATATAATAAAAGCCTAGGTGGCATCGTGCAACACCCTTGCACGAAATCGTCACAAGATGGTTGCCACAAGATGGCTGTCCTCACATCGACACAAGATGACTGTCACAAGATGGCCAGCAGGGGAGGGCAGTTGAGGGTGATCTGGCTGGCAGGGGAGGGCAGTTGGGGGCGATCTGGCCAGCAGGGGAGGGCAGTGGGGGTGACCAGGCCTGCAGGGGAGGGCAGTTGGGGACGAGATCAGGCCAGTAGGGGAGGGCAGTTGGGGGTGATCTGGCTGGCAGGGGAGCAGTTAGGGGGCGATCAGGCTGGCAGGCAGGTGAGCGGTTAGGAGCCAGCAGTCCCGTATTATGAGAGGGATGTCTGACTGCTGGTTTAGGGTGGGATCGGGCCTAAACCAGCAGTCAGACATCCCCCAAGGGGTCCCAGATTGGAGAGGGTACAGGCTGGACTGAGGGACAACCCCCCCCTCTGTGCACAAATTTTGTGCACCAGGCCTCTAGTTTATTATATAGGATTCTCACTGGAGCATTTGTTTTTATTGATTTTAGAGAGAGAAACATCAGTGTGATAGAGAAACATTGAATGGTTGGTTGCTTCCCATAGGTGCTGACCAGGAATTGAAAACAAAACTTAGGTATGTGCCCCGGATCTGCAACTTTTGGTATATGGAATGACACTCCAACTGACTGAGCCACACAGCCAGGGCTCTTTGCTTGATTATTGATATCTTCTAGCATGTAGAGTCCATACTTGTCTTTTTTAAAATATATTTTTATTTCGGAGAGGAAGAGAGAGATAGAAATATCAAAGATGAGAGGGGATCATTGATTCGCTGCCTCCTGCATGTCCCCTACTGGGGATTGAGTCCGAAACCTGGGTATGTCCCCTTGACCGTAATCAAACCTGGGACCCTTCAGTCCGCCAACACTCTATCCACTGAGCCAAACTGGTTAGGGTTGTTACCTTTCACTTTCTATTCAGAGTAAGAACAAAACATTTTCTTTGCACGGCAGATTTTCTTGAGAAAATCCAATATTTTTCTTGGTTTTCCTAGGGTTATAGGTTTGTTTGTTTTTTTCTTTTTTCTAGGATTCTAGTTTTTAATATAGGGATCTGAAGGCAAAAAGCTAAATGTTAAAATAACAGGGCTTTGAGTATGAGATGGAAGATAGTTATGACTTTTTCATACAATTTACTGAGCTTATCGCTAATGGACTGTTTTTAGGTAACATCACACAGATTGCCATCTCAGAAGAGAGCATGGAAGAAGCAGGGTTAGAATGGAACTCGGCCCTCACTGCTGCTGTCACCATGGCCACAGAAGAGGGAGTGAAGAAAGACTCAGAGGAAATTTCAGGTAATTTCCTATGGGCTCAGATATTTTACAGTTTTGTGACCTTATCACCATTATAATTATGGACACAGAAGGCCTTTTAATTACTTTTGCCGGTTTGTCTCATGCATATTAATATTAATTATAGCTGCAAACCTCTTACTTTAATCAATGCAACATCCCGCAGACACATTTTACACATGAAGAAATTGAGATTCAGAAAGGTTCAGCAACTTGCCTAATATCAGTAACACAACCAATAAGTATCAGAGCTGAGTTCAGCTGAGTTTGACTGTAGTCCATGATTTTCATCCTGTCAAACTACTTCCAACTTTGGTATACTTCTTAGATAAACCAAGCTGCAAGATGTTAGAAGAAAAAATTAGGTAGCAGATGGTTTAGAAGATGGTGATTAATAATGATTCACTTAGAGGGGATCAGGAGAGGCTTCACATCCTCCTCCATTTATTTATTCATTTAACAAATATTTATTGCTGCTTACTTTTATTTATTTATAAATATTGATTTCAGAGAGGAAGGGAGAGGGAGATAGAGATAGAAACATCGATGATGAGAGAGAATCATTGATGGGCTGCCTCCTGCATGCCCCCTACTGGGGACCGAACCTGCAACCCGTGCATGTGCTCTTGACTGGAATTGAACTTGGGACCCTCCAGTCCGCAGGCTGATGCTCTATCCACTGAGCCAAACCAGCTAGGGCTTGCTGCTTATTTTTAGTTAGTACTGTTGCTAGATGCTAGACAGGTGAATGAAAAGACATAGCCTTTGACTTCAGGGAGTTTATAATACCACCTATTCAACTGTTTTACTTTGTATTTTGAAGTATATGATTAGAGCGAATATACCTTTATTTTAGTATACCTTTAATATCTTTATTATTTAACTTTAAAATTTTAAATTAAATTATTTAAATAAATAACATTTAATATCTTATATTTATTAGAGGAACATACCTATTCCTTGTAGCCAGAGCAATGACAAATTGAGGGCATGACAAAATGAGGCAATTATCCCAAGTCCCTAGTTTGCTAAAGAGGCCAAATAATTAGTTACCAACTTAGGGAGGCAGCTAATACTCCAAAAGATTTTTCCCTTTTCCCAGAAGTGTCCCAAAAAGGAATCCTTTTGAATTGAAATAATTTTGAATTTAACACATTGTAGAAATGTACCTAAGTATATGTAGCATCCCTTGTTTACCATCTTTCTTATTCCTCTTGTACCAGAGGACACTTTGATGTTCTGGAAAGGAATAGCTGATGTAGGGCTGATGGAAGAGGTTGTATGCAACATACAGAAGGAAATAGAGGAGCTACTCAGGGGGGTTCAGCAGCGGCTCATTCAGGCGCCCTTCCAGGTCACCGGTAAGTGTGTTAATTCTAACAATATCTAGTTATCCTGTTGGCCTCATGAAAAACACTGATGAATAGGTATCCCAATTTTACACACTAGGTAACTAAGGCTCATAGAAGTTACTTCTCTAAAGATCATAACTGGGTTTGTGTGTGTGTGTTTGTTAATCCTCACCTGAGGATATTTTTTCCATTGATTTTTTTTGAGAGAGTGGAAATCCTCCTCCATTTATTTATTCATTTAACAAATATTTATTGCTGCTTACTTTTATTTATTTATAAATATTGATTTCAGAGAGGAAGGGAGAGGGAGATAGAGATAGAAACATCGATGATGAGAGAGAATTATTGATGGGCTGCCTCCTGCATGCCCCCTACTGGGGACCGAACCTGCAACCCGTGCATGTGCTCTTGACTGGAATTGAACTTGGGACCCTCCAGTCCGCAGGCTGATGCTCTATCCACTGAGCCAAACCAGCTAGGGCTTGCTGCTTATTTTTAGTTAGTACTGTTGCTAGATGCTAGACAGGTGAATGAAAAGACATAGCCTTTGACTTCAGGGAGTTTATAATACCACCTATTCAACTGTTTTACTTTGTATTTTGAAGTATATGATTAGAGCGAATATACCTTTATTTTAGTATACCTTTAATATCTTTATTATTTAACTTTAAAATTTTAAATATTTAATTTTAAATTAAATTATTTAAATAAATAACATTTAATATCTTATATTTATTAGAGGAACATACCTATTCCTTGTAGCCAGAGCAATGACAAATTGAGGGCATGACAAAATGAGGCAATTATCCCAAGTCCCTAGTTTGCTAAAGAGGCCAAATAATTAGTTACCAACTTAGGGAGGCAGCTAATACTCCAAAAGATTTTTCCCTTTTCCCAGAAGTGTCCCAAAAAGGAATCCTTTTGAATTGAAATAATTTTGAATTTAACACATTGTAGAAATGTACCTAAGTATATGTAGCATCCCTTGTTTACCATCTTTCTTATTCCTCTTGTACCAGAGGACACTTTGATGTTCTGGAAAGGAATAGCTGATGTAGGGCTGATGGAAGAGGTTGTATGCAACATACAGAAGGAAATAGAGGAGCTACTCAGGGGGGTTCAGCAGCGGCTCATTCAGGCGCCCTTCCAGGTCACCGGTAAGTGTGTTAATTCTAACAATATCTAGTTATCCTGTTGGCCTCATGAAAAACACTGATGAATAGGTATCCTTTATTTACACACTAGGTAACTAAGGCTCATAGAAGTTACTTCTCTAAAGATCATAACTGGGTTTGTGTGTGTGTGTTTGTTAATCCTCACCTGAGGATATTTTTTCCATTGATTTTTTTTGAGAGAGTGGAACTGGGGGAGTGAGGGAGGGAGAGAGAGAGAGAAACACTGATGTGGAGAAATACATCGATTGATTGCCTCCCATATGCAGCCCAACCAGGGCCAGGTATCGAACCTACAACCCAGGCATGTGTCCTCGACTAGGAATCAAACCCATAACCCTTTGGTGCATGGGCTAATGCTCTAACCACTGAGAACACTGGCCAGGGTCATAACTTTTTTAAAAAAAAAAATCCTCACTCGAGGATTTTTTCCATTGATTTTTAGAGAGAATAGAAGGGAGGGAGGAGGCGGGGGGAGAGAGAGAGAAACATCAACGTGAGAGAGATACATTGATTGGTTGCCTTCTGCATGAGCCCCTCCTGTGGCTGGGGTACCTGCAACTGAAATAAGTGACCTTAACCTGGAATAGAACCCAAGACCCTTTGGTGCATGGGCTGACACTCTAACAACCCAGCCAGGGCTTTAGCTGGGTTTTGAACTCAGGTCTAGCCATGCTTTTTCCACAGGTAATTACCTGATAATTGCCATTATCAGTGTGCCAAAAAGTAGTTCTCTCAATTCTCTCTTATTTATATTAATATAGATATTAATTATAGATATGTCAATAGTATATTAATATAGATATAACAATTAAATCTAAATTAATTATACATGTGATACATCTTTGTTAAAATTGTTTATTAGACTAGTCCCGTCATTTTCGGATTGTTCCATATTTGTAAACAGCACAAGAGGGAGTTGGTGGAAAACCTTTCTGTTTTAGGTCGACAGACATGTCTTTTCTTCTAAATAGATGCTGCTGTTCTCAACAATGTGGCACACACATTTGGCCTAATGGACACGGTTAAGAAGGTTTTGGACAACAGAAGGAACCAAATAGAGCAAGGAGAAGAGCAGTTTCTCTATACTCTGACAGGTATGTATAATTTCTCTCTCTTCTTAGGTGATAAACTACTATCCTTTGAGTCTTGCCATTTCTTTCTTTTTAAAAAAATGTATTTTTTATTGATTTCAGAGAGGAAGGGAGAAGAAAGAGAGATAGAAACATCAATGATGAGACAGTATCATTGATCGGCTGCCTCCTGCACACCCCACATTGGGGATTGAGCCTGCTATCTGAGCACGTGCCCTGACCGGGAATCAAACTGTCATAGGTTGATGCTCAACCACTGAGCCATGCCTGCCAGACAACTCTTGCCATTTCTTTGTTGAAATTTGTTGGGACTGGCGTGGTTCTTTCTTTGCTTCTTTTTAAAAATATGTATTTTCTTTGCTTCTTCTTTTTCTTTTTAATATTTTTATTGATTTTGGAGAGAAGAAGGGAGAAGGAGAGAGAGATAGAAACATCAATGATGAAAATCATTGATCAACTCTTCCTGTACACCCCCTACTGGGGATTGAGCCTGAAACCTGGGCATGCGCCCTAATCAGGAATTGAATTGTGACTTTCTGGTTCAAAGGTCAATGCTCAACCACTGAGCCACATTGGCCAGGCCTTTCTTTGCTTCTTTTTCCTACCCCAGCCCCAACTCCCTCTTTCTTTTTATTTCTTTTAACTCACATAGTGTCATGTTTGACTTTTGCTTTATACATAGACCCAGGTGGGGTGAAGTAGTGGGAAGCAGAGAAGGCACAAAGGAAAAGAGAAAGAAGCCAGCATCACAGTACTCCTTCTATATCTTTTGGAGAATTAGGATGTCTGCGAGAATGCTCCATCAATCCAGTAATATTGGTGGCAGAAGAACTGGCTTTTGTCTTTTTTACATTATTATTACTGAATCTTTTGACAGATACACATTTAGCCTATTTTCCATTATTTGTGGTAATAAATGATGAGCACATAGATATTTTAACTCTTTTTATTAAGTACTTACCTTGTGCTGGTCTTCAAACTAGGTTTTAGAAATATAATGTTGAATATTGAGGGCCTTCAAGGAACTCGAGGGAAAGCAGACATAAAAATAAGTGCAAAAAGTAATCTGTTTTATGACAGTGGCTTATAGCAGGTATGATGGAAGAACAAAGGGAGTTATCACTTATACCTGGAAGGAATCAAGAGAGGCTTTTGAAGGAGGTAAAGCAGGTGAAGGATATAAAATAAGTCAAGGAGGATCATCAGCCTTTGAATGATGTAGAACAAATTATAGTCAATTATAAAGCCCAAAGACTCTTGCAAGGTCATTTGATAAGAGAAGAACAATTTAGGTTGCTCTAAAGTTATTTTTATACCCAGTTTATGTAGATAGATAGATAGAGATAGAGATATATATTTTTAAAATATATGTTTATGGATTTCAGAGAGGACAGAAGAGGGAAAGATAGAAACATCAATGATGAGAGAGAATCATTGATTGGCTGCCTCCTGCACACCCCTACTGGGGAAGGAGCCCACAACCTGGACATGTGCTCCGACCAGGAATTGAACTGGGACCTCCTGGTTCATAGGTCGATGCTCAACCACTGAACCACACCGGCCAGGCCTATAACTTCTATTTTTGAGGTTTTTTTTCAACTACTTCCCAGGATTAAGCTTGAGGTTATAGTATTGATATTTTTTTTATGGATTTCTGTGAATTGTCAAATTTCCAAGAAGATTATGCCAATTTATGCCAGCAGTTTGAACTCACCAACATTGGACATTGTTATTATAGTAATCCCTGATTTAGCTTTTTAAAAATTACAGATTTTATTTTTATCTTGTTTAGGTTCACATTTCTTTGATTACTACTGAAAATGGAAAAAATGCAGTATATCGTAACTTTAAAAAGCCATTATTTTAAAATCTGTGAACATGTTCTTGATCCCTACCTACTCCTTTTATTCCAAGCAAGTAATTAACTAGCTCTTGGTGTTCCATAGGAAACAAAGTGCTCTAAAGGTGTAACTGATTATTTATTGCTTGTTTATCAGGTACTAAGTAATAGAGACGTTCTGGTATAGAACCAGATTCACTAGTGGTCACCAAGGTTGAATTGGACACCTGGAGAGAGGTAGTGATAGGTATATTGTGATGGAAAAGCCACCGAGTTGGCCATCAGAGACTTTTGTCCCAGGCTCTGTGACCTTAAGTCAGTCACTTTGGAACTTTAAGACCTCCTCAGTTCTGTATTTCTTAGAAACTTCCTCTGTAACTTTCTCCAGACTTCTCTGGGGGCTAATAGTAGACTAAGGCCGTTTGGGTCACCAGGTGATCCTGCCTTGAAGCAGTTTGGGAATCACTGTGTTCTAGAGTGGCCATTGTAGATCCCTTGCAGTTCCAAAGGGATTGTAAAGATATTTCTTATCTTCATCTGTAGTTTGAGGCAGGGCATATCTTAGCTGCTAGACCAACTAGAGGTTGCTTTGGTTTGCATTTTGGTGACAGGCGACAAAATGCCACAGGAGCTTCTAGAGTTGAGCTACAGTAGGATCACAGCTTGAAAAGATCCTGGATTATCACCCTGCCTATAATCATACAAGGAAATGTTGTTACTGAAGGGATTAACAAATCATCCAGTTTAGTTTCTTCTTAAAAACAATGAAGCAAAAAATAATAATAATTTAAAAATAATAAAAACAATGAAGTAACTTTCTTGAGGCTACAGAGTGGCAAGACCCCAGATCCCCTCACTCCCATTTTACTGTTCCCAAGATTATATTTCCATCCACACAAAGTCTATCTTTTTTTCCATAGACTTGGAACGCCAGTTGGAAGAGCAGAAGAAACAAGCTCAAGATCAGAGGCTGAAATCCCAGACAGTTCAAAATGTGGTATTGATGCCTGTGAGCACTCCTAAGCCTCCAAAAAGGCCTCGACTCCAGCGGCCAGCCTCCACCACCGTCCTGAGCTCATCTCCTCCTGTCCAGCAGCCTCAGTTCACAGTCATCTCACCCATCACAATCACCCCAGTGGGTCAGTCATTTTCCATGGGCAATCTTCCAGTGGCCACCCTCAGCCAGGGCTCCAGTCCTGTGACTGTCCACACACTGCCTTCTGGCCCTCAGCTCTTCCGCTATGCCACAGTGGTCTCCTCTGCCAAGAGCAGCTCACCAGACACAGTGACCATCCACCCTTCATCTAGCTTGGCGCTGCTAAGCTCTACTGCCATGCAGGATGGGAATACCCTGGGCAACATGACCACTATGGTGAGCCCTGTGGAGTTGGTGGCCATGGAGTCTGGCCTGACCTCAGCAATCCAGGCTGTTGAAAGCACCTCAGAGGATGGGCAGACCATCATTGAGATTGACCCAGCCCCAGACCCAGAGGCTGAGGATACTGAGGGCAAAGCAGTCATTTTGGAGACAGAGCTTAGGACTGAGGAGAAAGTTGTGGCTGAGATGGAAGAACATCAGCATCAAGTCCACAATGTGGAGATTGTGGTCTTAGAGGATTAACTGGGGATATTGGGGCCAGGAAATATGTTTTGGTTTGAAATTTTAAATATTTGTTTACTTTTATCATTGTCCCACTCATTTCCATGTAGGATCCTTTTTTTTTAAAGAAAAACAAATCTCATTGATGTAACTGAATATGTTGGGTCCCTCCCACCCCCTCATTGAAAAAATGGACAAAACAAGCTGTCCTTCCAGAAGTTGAGAGTAGGTCACTCAATGTCCTCATCCTCTTACACCAAGAAAGTTACTTCTTTTAGGGGAGGCATCAAGATAACCAGAAACCTATTCCAAAAGCCCTTTCCAGGCTAATCTATCTGTGTACACAGACCTGATACTGGAAGGCAACCCACTCACACATGGATGCAGAAGGAAATTTATTTTGTATCCTGGAATGGGCCCTTCGAGGCCAGTGCAAAACTCTGAAAGGAAGTGGAACTCTGCTTGGAGGGGGAACTCTGTTGCTTGGAGCAGCAGTTTAAAAAGGGAAGTGCTTTGCCAGGATGGGGCAAAGAAATTACCTTATTTCCAGAAGTGCAACTGATGCCTCTTGGTATCTCTGAGGGTTACCACTATAGGTGCCATTTTGAGGAGAGGCCAGTGGTAAGTGGAAGGTACATTGGCATGGAGCAAGTAGCATCAGGAGAAATAGAAATCCAGGGATGTCACAGCTGTGCTTTGGGACTCAAGCTCACCTTGCCCCCAACTTTGTCAAAGCACTTACCTTTCTAAACTAGGATCAGTCCATTAATCTGTGAACTGTGTGATATGGTGTAAATTGCTCTGGTTCTTGAACTGTGGCTGTTGTGGGGTGAGGCTCCAAGCCCATCATTTTATTGCATGACTCCAGGAGCAGAGGAATTCTTCATCCAGACCAGCTGCCCTTTTTGGTGGGGCCCTCTTTTGGCTTTGGAACCAAAAGCAACCACTCATTTGGTGCTTCCTCTTGTTCTACCCTCTATCCCTTAACTGTTAATGGCATCTGTCTCCTGGATCCCATGCTCTTCAGCTTTTTAGCTGATTTGGAGAACAGTGACAGGTGCCTGCCTTCATCCCCCTTTAGAGTCATTTATACCACAGATCTTTCTGTGAGACTGAGCTCATAAAAAAAGCCTTAGGCTTGGCAGGAAGACTCAACACCCCTAGCCTATCCTGAGGCACCGAATGGATGTCTCCTACTGAGCAAGCTGGACTCCCTGGGAAAGAAGCATTGTCTGCAACATTATATTATAGGAAATGTACCAGAAATGTCAATAATAATGTCTTTGGGGGGTGTGTGTCTTGTTTTCTTTCTCTTTTTATGTTTTTTGTATATTTAGAGCTGGGCCATTTTCTGTGCTTTGATTACTTCTCTTTGGCCATCTTCAGTGTTTGGGGTAAGAGTGGACCCTGGTTTTTATTTCTTTTGGTTGCATTGTTTACTGCATTAGGAAAAATATAGGGAAACTGCAGACAGTATAAAGGAAAAATAGGTCAAGAAAGCACACACCTAAGGAGTGGGAGGGTTTTTGTTTTTAATTAAAACTTAGACCTATAGTTACTTTTTTTTTTTTTAAGAAGGCACCCACTTGAAGCCATGCTTCTTCCAGCAGATGTTGGAAACCCTGTTGTCAAGCAAGTGGAAACAGTTCTGCTACCCCTCAGAAGGATGTATATAGCTGGAGAAGCCCTTTAACTTAGGAGGGTCAGTCATAAAAGCCTTAAGGGTGAGATTTCTGAACCCCATACAGTTGTAGTTTTCAACTTTAAAATTGTCTGGGGTTGTATTTTTCTTTTCAAAATATTTAATAGATGTAGCAGTCAGCTTAGAACAAACCTTTGGCCCTTTATATATCTTTAGTGAGGAAAGTGGCTTTTTTTCTTGCTTCTTTAGGTTTCCTGTTAGTACATAAACAAAACCAGTATTTCTGTCTAAGAGTAAAACTGCTACTTGAACCTAGAAAGGCATATCATCCCTATTGTGGTTTTTAGGGACATTTTTCTCTTTCCCAGAGACAGGAGTCCCATTTCAGGACAGAGGAGCAGCCCTGGAGAACACCTATACACTAGTTCCGGTTCCTTTCTTCCCTCCATCTGAGCTGTTGGTAGTGTTTTAAAGTAGTGTGAACATTATGCTTCCAAAGTCAAGAGATTTCCTGCTAACAGAGCCTGTTTACTTTTACTTTCTGTATATTCCAGCTAGTGGAAATACATGAGCTTTGTTGTTTTCTGGTCTTCCAATAGCCTGTCATTATTGCTAGATGCTATAGCACCCATTGTTGAGTGGGAGTTCCCTCACAGCCCTGGTGTAGATGATCTCATATGGGGTGAGACATATGCAAGCCATTGGTCTGTGCACAGGCATTTTCAATGAATCATTCCTCAGGTTGACTTTGCAGTAGCCATCTATCTTTCTGTTCATTCATTCAATAAACATTTATAAGTATGATTTATGTGCCAGGCTTTGTGCTAGGCACTGGCAGTACAGAGGTGGAAACACAGTCAGTCTGTACACTCAAGGAATTCATACTCCAGAGATTGTCTGGAATTATACTTCAATATAATTGTTTCCTTTGTAATCCTATGTATTTTATTTCATGCATTGAAAAGCATTATTACGAGAATTGATCCATAGGTTTCAGCAGACCACCAAAGGTAGAAAGAGGTTAAGTTCTCTAGTCAGATACTGAAACATCATCTTTAAAATATATTTTTATATATATGTATTTTAATTGATTTCAGCAAGAAAGGGAGAGGGAGAAAGATATAGAAACATCAATGATGAGTAGAAATATCAATAATGAGAGAGAATCATTGATTGACTGCCTCCTGCATGCCCTCTACTGAACCCACATGTGCCCTGACTGGGAATCTAACTGATCTCCTGGTACACAGGTTGAAGCTCAACCACTGATCTTATTGGAGTAAGTACAGTGATAAAGTTCTTGGCTGGGAGCTGAGAAAACAAAGGATCAAGTATCTAACCCAGTTTGGGGGCAGGGGTCAGCAAATATGAGATACTTTTCTGTTGGTGTGACCCTAAGCTGATTTAGGAGAGACCATTTTCAGCCACTTGTGTCCTTTTTGTACTCCATTTTCAAGTAGTTGGGTTTATTTATACAAGAGAAAAACAACCCTTAGTCTCTTGCTGCTTTTGCCTCCAAAGCCACGCTAAGTCAACAGCATGGGATGTTTCTCCCAAGAGTACCCTACTGGAGAAAACCAAGTCATGTGTCAGCTTCTCCAAGTTACCATCAGATAAATCCAGTGCAAGACTGGAATTTAGCTGGTGGAAGGTAAATGCCCAAGCCTTCCTGTCATGTGGTTTCTACAAAGGCCTCAGAGTCAACTGTACAAATGTCTCACCTTGGCCATATCCCTATTTGGCCCCCACTTTATTCTCCGTTTCAGGCTCCTTCCCTGTCTCCCACTCCCACAAAACAAAAACCACTCCCAGTTATTTTGAAATAAAAATGGACAATAGACTTGAGTATTCAGGATTCAAAGTCACTTCACTGAAGTTTCTTTTACATGTCTGTCCACATTAGGGAAGGAGAACCAATGTTAATCCAAATACCTTGGAAATTAATATTCAGGTTAGGTGGATGATGCTCTTTAGAGATGTCATTTTATCTAATTTTCGTAAAACTCACTAAAGGTAAGTTTGTATTGTAGTAAGTATAGGTATTGGTAACATCTATAAATATAAAGAGCCAGGGGCCGTCACATCCGAAATGACCAAACAGGCTGAGTGGGGCAACAAGGTCAGCAGGGGGGTTAGTGCGGGACGACCAAACAACTGAGCAGCAGGCTGTGTGGGGCGTCCAGGCCGGCAGGGGGCAGTGAGGGGTGACCAGG